GAATTTTGAGGAAGGTCCATACGTGTTCCCAAACGCGCCTTGGGGTGTCCTAATCCCACCCCACATTGACGACGCTCACAGTCCATTACCAGGGTGGATAATTGACTCCCTCAAGGCAGTGAAGTACATAGATTCAGACCATTTCCATGTCCCAGAGGGAAAACGAGCCATTGAACTTGTTGGTGGCAAAGAAAGTTCCATAGCACAAATAGTCCGCACAGAACCAGGCAAGGAATATGTCCTCACCTTTGCTGTAGGAGACGCTAAGAACTCTTGTGTGGGCAGTTTGGGGATAGAGGCTTTCGCAGGAAACGGCACAACCAAAGTTGTTTATGTATCCACGGGCAGCGGAGGCTTCAAACGTGCGAAGCTTCGGTTTAAGGCGACACAATGGCGCACACGAGTCATGTTCTTCAGCACGTTTTACACCATGACCAGTGACAATTCTGGTACTCTCTGTGGACCTACGTTGGACGATGTGAAGTTGATCAGCGTTCGCACTCCTCCGCGAACACGACGTGCTTAAGCAATGAACAAAAGAAAAAATTGTGTTTGATTATCCTTTTAGCTTTTACTACATACTTGTAGTTTGTTGTAATAGAAGCAAGCTGAGATCATGCGTAATGTGAGTCTTTTTTACGTTGAATGTCTCACACTCTCATTTATGTATTTATCTTGTTCTATCAGGTGAAATGAAGTTATTTGAGTAGCTCTCTGTGCCCTTTCATCAGTTTTGATTCAGCTTAACACGTTTGATGTTGATGAATACCAGAATCAACCAACCCAAGTTATCAAACTGCTAAAAAGGGTAGTAGATGGAAGAAAAAACATGATTTTAAATCGCAAAATGTGGATCTAGATTCTTGGTCTAATTTTTGGTGTCTCAGTTGGACTCTTACCATTCATATCATACCACTTTAATTAATAGACTCAAGACAAAATAACATATAAAAAGTCAAAAAAACATTGAGTCATGTATAATATCTATTCCACTCTTAAAATCTCAATAGTGCAAGTGAATACAAAATTAGCACCAGATTAAGCTTATCACCAAGAAAAGCGTGTTATAGACTTTGTTGTCTTGTTCATTTTTCAACCAAATTCAAGAACACCAAATAACCTAACAATTAAAATGCTAATTCTTCGATCTTTCTTATTCTCTCTCTTTCC